ATAAAGGCTATTTCTATTCTATTCTATTCTATTCTATTCTATTCTATTCTATTCTATTCTATTCGATGTTCTGAATTAATTTAAATAAATCACAAGTTAAGAAGGGCATGGACATTTCTCTTTTTTTGTATCAAAATAATATCGAACTGTGACACTAAAATATGGAACCGAACCAAATTGGGAATTTTCTGTATCGTTGCACCCCTACTTCACTAAATCATCTTTTTGGAACATGTATGGCTGATCTGAACACCTATCTCAAACTAACTCAGGTGAGTCAAACCATTTAGTGTATTTATTTCCCACCCTTCATTCACAGTGTTGTCAGGTCTAATGTGGTCAGATAATCACGTACAGGTTGAACGTTGTTAATGAAACAGTTGGATTGCAGAGCTTGGCTTGGTTTACATCACTTTACATGTTGTGTAGTACACATACTGCAAACATCTTGTGTACTGTGTAGTTGTGATACAAATGAAGCATTTGTGAGTTTTCTTCATTAAAGAAGAACCCGTCCAGAGGACCTATACAATTTTTTTTCCTTTTCTTCAGATTGTTTTAATGTTGGTTACACTGAGGGCTTCATCTATGGGTTGTAGTGTCTGTGGAGCTGTGTGCAGGCCAAGGTTATTTCTTACTCCTGGTAAACATCCTGGTTCTGGTGTACACAGATGGTGAGAAACAATAGACTGGATCTGAGCAGAGTCTTCAGCTGAGGAGCAGGGACCCTTAAAGGAACACGGCAGCTTTTTATTTTCAGGTTACGGATGAAACATCACATCAAACTGTCACAACATTTATAGTATTACTTCTATAAGCTTTAAGTTTATACACTTTGATCAAACTTTGTATTATTCAAGACAAATCTTCCAAAAGTGGGCGTAAATACCAGCTCATTTTTGAAGTTAGTGTTGCTTTTTATTGTGTTTAGTTGACAGAGTTTTAACAGTGTTTAAAGTAAGCATCAATTTGTAATTGTGCTGCATTTGTGTTACTTTGATAAAA